CGATGGCGCGGGCGACGCGGATAAATCAATTGTACATAGTATGCCACGGTGAAAATCGTAATTTGAAAATAATTGATACTGGCCGCCGGTGACGTGACCCGTCGCCCTCCTTCTCTCATTGTCCCTATTTCTGCCTACCTCTCCCCCTCCGGCCGCCCTGTCTCTCCGGCCGTCTATTATTTCCATCAATCCATTTTCGCGCCGGCAACAATGGCGTTACCCGTTAGTCACGTGAAAATGTCCTACAAAACTGCGGACAACGAGTATAATTGCGTGAAAATTGGGAACGGTCCCGTCGCTTACTGCGCCAGCTGCTCACTTTTAATTAATTAAACGTCCCGCCGACGCTGCCGCCGCCGCCGCCGCCGCCGCCGCCGACAGAGACCGTTCTCTGTCATCGATATCGCGGATACATTCCCGGCTTCGGTTCGGTGTGTACCGTTTCCCTCGACCGCCGATCATTTTTTTCATCCAATTACGGAACACCGTTATTCTGTTTACTCTGCCGGGGGTTGGAGTACCGGAGGATACGCGGAAAAAAAGGATACGAGAGATGTTTCTCGAGAACGCGGGATGAAACGTTGATCCCGAAACTCCCTTAGTCATTCGACGTCCCCGTTCAACCCTTCCTCGAGCGACCCTCGTGTTTCGTGCACACGTTCGATGGAAGGTGCGTCCCTCCCGGAAAAAAAAGGGAAAAAAGGATTCTTCCCCTCGGTATATTTTCGTATACGCGTTATCGTGCGCGCACGGATCCCCCGAGGGGAGGCTGTCGAGCGGTGCCATATTTAACCGGCGTATCGCGTCCCGCAGAATTTTTCGTCGGCTCTGCACAGTGGCACGAATAATCTCGGGCATAGACGAAGGGGGGGATCTACCGTTCGAATTGGATGATTCATCGAATCGAAGATATCTAGCCGAGAAATCGTCTGTGGCTCGACGAGCACGTTAACGTTAGAACCGTCCGTCGGTTGAGATACCTTTTTATAGAATCTACAAGACCAATGGATTTCTCTTTCGAGTCAATGAATCGAGTTCTTTCATAACTTTTTAAAAGATTACCTTTTCAGCGATTGCAAGAGAAATTGGGAAAGAGTAATTTCCAATCGCTTAGCATTTCCAGCGATAACTCGATTAACCAAGCATTCGATCCAACGGTTCCGGATCTTCAGCGATTAGTCGACCGAATTTGCCACACTGAAAAGTCACCGGGTACATGTCGGATCGCGCGAGCGCGAGCGCGTGGCTGTTCGTTCGCTATTATTCCCCGGGCGAGATTTAAAAGAACACGTGTAACGCGTTCCACCGGCAGCCCGTTCGAGCCGGTTGACGTTAATTAATATGTTGAGCCATTCCGCTGCATAATTAATGTAAAATTATTAATTACCTCTGGCGGCCGTTACGCAACGTTACGCTACAATTACACCGAACAACGGGTATCGTGGTGGAACTAACTCTCGTTACGGCGTGTCCAACGGCCGAATCGCGTAAGCTCCGCTCGAATCCACCCCCCGCGGTTATAACGAGGCCGCGAGATGATCGATTCTTTCCGCCGCAACTCTTCGCGATCCGCCGCCGTTCCGATATTAAGAGAAATCGGGGATCTCGAGGGCATCCGAGCGAGGCGTCGCGAGACGTCTTGTCCGCGCCGATGAGTTCACGTGAATTCTCGATGTAACGCGAATGCGTAATGGCCGCCGGAGGAGGAGGAGGAGTTGCTGCTCGTACCTGTCCCGGAGAAAGCGAGAAGAAAACTGGGTCGTGTGAGGCGTCTCGCGTTGCGATGTTAACATCTGGCAAGGTGGAATGATGTAACGCGAGGCAATCCGAGGTACGAGCGATTCTTAGAGGAAACGGGAGGACGGCGAGGGACAGAGAAGGTCTACCTTCTGTCTCCCTCCGCGTCAAACGCAGACGAACATCTTCTAGGAAACTGTAGTAATTAATAACTACGTAAACTCGTACTCTTCCTACGATACGAAATTCGGCCGGTAACCGACGCGTTGGTAATGAATATCGAAACAGAGAGCTCCCCCGTGTTACGAACAGATTTCCTTCCGTCAGAAGGCAATCGACTCTCCGTACGATCGGCGAAAAACCACTGATCCTAATTCAACGATCGCCGTCGACACGACAAAAGGAAGAGGAACGTGGCTCGAATGCGCGACGCGCCGTTCCTCTCCGTCTTCGCGGCGACACCTATAATCCAATCGGTGTCGATATGCTCCGCATACACGGGGGCAACAATGGCGGTGGAAACGCGCGGGGCCGACAAAGGTTCCGTGCCGCGCGATCGGAAGCGTCGAACGCGGCATGGAAACAAACGGGAGCGGAAGCAAACGGGTCGGGCGTTAGTCGGCCGAAATGAATTTACGCAAAGTGCATTAAAATGCGGACGCGTGCATTCATTCCGGGCGCGGAGCAGAAAGGCGGGGCACAGGATGCGGTGCAGCGCGGCGCAATGGGATGCGATGCGATGCGATGCGATGCGATGCGTGCACGCGTGAACACGCGGAGTAAATTTCTATCGGGGAACCCTGCCGCCGATGGGATGCGGCCGAGGGAGAGGAGGAGCGGACGCGCGCGCGCGCGCGGATCCGGTGGCGCGCAATTGGAAAACGCATTACACGTACGCCGCGAGGGTCCACCGCGGAAATAAACCGCAATGCCAAAAACAGCGCGCGTCCCCGCGCGACGAAAATTAAGAGCGAACGCGGCCGCGCGGTTTTCGACAGAGAACGCGCGCTGCCTAGCGAAGAGGGATGGAGGGCGGCAGCCACGGGGAGGGAAACGTAACGGGCATCGACGATAGTCGAATGGAGGAGGAACGAGGGGGTTGGTTAGGCGGGAGGAAACGATTTCGACGGGGTAACGCGACGCGTCGGGCGAGAGGGGTGGAGCGAGCACGACGGGGATGGACGGTGAACCGGTGCGTGAAATTGGGTAAAAATGAATCGACGCCGGGTACCCGGTGCCGCCATTATTCCCCCGAAACTCGTACCGAGGGATGTATGTACGTACCGCTGGCTACCTACGTGACACGTACGGGATCGACGAGACGACGATGCGGAAAGTGCAGCCAATGTTTTTTCGGGCGTCGATGCACGGGCGTGCGCCGTGTCTCGCGAGCGTGTGTCCCCCGCTCGATGCGCTCGCGGCGGGTCGCAGGCCCGCGTCGCTCGCGGGAAAAAATTGACACCGTTGTGCACGCGACCCGACACCGGTCCCGACCGTTCCGATGAAGAGGAACGGCGCGGGTAATCAAATTAACCCGTCAACCGGGGCTTGGCAAAACACCGGCGCGCCGGGATTCCGCGTCGAGGCCGTTGTAAACCGAATCGATCTTTATTTTGCCGCTCGTTTGCCCCGTGGAACGCGGTGAAATTCTTAAACGTCGCGTTCGCCCATCCCCCTTCGTCGTCATGCCCCGCGATCGTGTCCGGCGTTCTCCCGTTCGCTCTCCCGCCGGGGCCGACCCCCTTTTCCTTCGGCCGCTATCGATTCCGCGCGTTACGTGTATCGACAACACGATACTTGTTGATTCGGCTACGATATCCGGCGTTACGTCGATCCCAGAAACACAATCTTACATTCGCGAAACGTTCACCGGAGAACGCTGTAACAGTATACGTCTGCGAGCCGATAGGCCATTGCGCCACCGCGCGATACGCTGCGACCCCAGCCGTCCGCGATGGAAGGACCTCTCCTCCCGTATCGGTGGAAGGTTGCGCTGCGGCGACACGCGATACCGTTCTTACACGGGGCTTAACGCTAACGAAACGGATCACGAGGCAACACGCTCTCCCGGTAATCACCGCTACAGCGTCGTCGTCACGGTAAACAACTGTTGTAATTTTTCAAAGCCGTTTCCCGGATACCGAGTTACGTACGCGTTAGAGGCTTTGGGATTGCGATACGGTTTTCGGAGAATGGTCTTGGGTATCTGGGTTCAGGGTAATGGTTCACGCGATTGTAGTCGCCCGATGACAGCGAGCATCCGCGGCGAGTGTGAAACGGTTTGCAAGAGAAAGGAGGACTCGGGTACCCGGGACACACGTGAATACGGCCCTGCGGTGCCCCTCGCAAAAACCAATAACCTCGGCAAACGTCGGGCACCGGTTGTTTATAGCCTAAAAGAGAGAACAAGAGGGAAGCCGAAGAAGGACGGCCAGCACGCGAGCAGGACAGGGCCAGAGTGGGGAACGAGAGAAAGGGGAGAGGGGAACACGTCGCTCCGAGTTCGAGATCGTTTCGTGTACCTGCCGCGATCCTCCGGTACCTCGAGGAACCCTTGCACCGTCGAATAATTGGGTCGTAACGCGAGTAACGCCCCGCCGGCGTTTCATTTACAAGTTTTCAGTTTCATCGATATTCCGGTCAGGCCCGGCGTCCCCGCGGAACCTTTCTCCTCTCGTTTCGGGGGAACCGGCGATCAAGGAATTTATTCCGATACAGTTTTCCAGAAGGTAATCCGCGGAACGAGCACGGCAAGCGTCGACGAACCCCGGCGAACTTGCGCGCCGAAATTTCATCGGAAAGAAAGAGCTTCGAGAGCGGACTACACGCGAGCCGGCTTCGTCGAACCGCTAACGAGCGCGAATAGTTGCACGAGTTCGCCTCGATTTCAGCGGAAATCGTCGGCCGGAGAGTCGACGGGTTTCGCGTAACACAGGAAAAATGGAGTCGTCGACGGGGGAACAGAGGGAAAAACGCGCGGCGCGCACCGTGACGCGGTTTTCGCGATTTCGAACGGTGCCCGCGCGCGGTGTCACGTGACCGCCGGAAACGGCAGAGGAGAACGACGGAAGAGGACAAAGCCGGGGAACGCGGCACGCAATTCGAGCGTGCCGCTGGCGGCGGATCGGGAAACCACCGCGGGGCTATAGTTGAAATTGGAGTCGCAAGAATCCGGGGAATGCGGCGGCGCGGGGGCGAATCTCAAGGAGCGAGCACGAAACAAGAGAAATTGAAAATCGTGGGCAACGGTTCGCGGCCAACTTTTCCCCGGAATCGCTACCAGAAAATTCCCTTTTTTTCTCTCTCTCTCTCTCTCCGTTCTCTGTGTTTCGTTTCGATCACGTCGCCGCCCGCGTCGTTTCCACGATTTGTTTCCCTCCTTTTTTCTCGGCTCGCGCAAACAAACGAACGAACGAACGAACGAACGAACGAACGTTGCGCAAAGTTCACGTCGCGGTTGGGAAAAAGAGAGAGGAGAATCGGAACCGGCGCCGCGGTTTCGCCCGTTCGAGTTCGCGATTCGCCCAGGAGGATACGCGGAAAAAATAAATCGACGAGGCTTTCGTAAACGCAGCGTCGAGGATTCGTAAACAGTCTCGTTTTTCGGCCGGCACGGTGTCAATATTGTAACAGATGTAGGACGCGAACGGTCGCGTCGCCGACGGTCTGAGAGTTCGGACGTCCGCGAGTTGGAACAACAAACGGAGTTTCTCGAACGATTACGACGGAAAAATCTGTCGGGTAAACACGAGCGAGCGCACCTGTGCGCTACGCTGTTCGCGCGGCTCGCCGGTGGAAATTCAATCGCGAGTTAAATGCGGGAAGGAAGTTAATCGGTCGCGCTGAGATCGGACGATCCGATTCTATTGAAGGCGCGCGTGCATCGAGGTCAGACGGTCCGATACCACTGCGAGCATATTTCAGAATTAAATTCCGCGCGAGCGTTTCTGCTCCTCCTCCTCCTCCTCTTCACGGCGAACACGTGAGAGACCAGTAAAAAATGACGAAGCGACGTGACTACCATAAAATGTTGCCGCGTTTAAGCGTGGGTGGCAACAATACGGACAACCGCGCGCGGGCAAGGCAACGTTTGCTTTACGCGCGAGCCTCCATTTGTATGTAAGACGTAATGGGTCCGTGCCGAGGGAAGGACGATTTAAACTGTATCCTGCGAGCTTGTAACGGCTGGACGCGAGGAGTACATCAACAATTGGATAAAGGGCGTGGGCTAATTAATCGACGAACCAGATAAAATACTGACTGCACTTTATCACTAGAAGTACCAGTTGAAACGACTGGTTTCGACTTTTTTGTTTAGCAATTATTGATATCTTCGAAGCGTTGAGTATTCGAAATGATTGTGAAAATAAATAGTTTCATTTCAGTACTATAATGAATGTCTGAAGAAACTGAAAATAGTCTATCGTTACAGTTTTTATAGGAATTGCATGTTAATCGTGTTAAATGCTCGGTAGTTCTAGTGTTAACCCTTTATGGTCGAATGTCGACATTTCGAGATGAAATTTTCTATAATTTAGCTTCATGTGTGAAGATTTCGTATATTTCAAAGAATCTTCGTTCGCAAAGGGTTAACCTACTCTTCATTTCTTAATTTCTGAGAGTAAGCATTAGATGTATTGTTAATGGCACAAAAATTGCGTTCATTGCGTATTACCCGAGGAGTCTCGTTTCTCCGAGTCATTTAGTTCACGGTAAATCATCGAGCTAAGAAGTTTCTATTCGTTTCGTCAGTCGCCTTTAATACGTATCGATAAATATATACCGAGTTCAAACTGTGTTGTATTTATTTAGCAACTAAATATTCAACGGTTTCACTGATCTACTTTTATTTCCTCCGATCGAATGAATCGGAATACTGCTACAGTTTTAAACGAAACCGAGTAATTCCATTCTACTGAATCATCCTGCAAGGACTCCGCTCTCTTTTCGTACAAATGGAAAAGCATTTGCCGTGCCTGTACACCGCGAACGAGAGAATCGAGACGAACCAAGTAAAAATAAAGGGAAAAAATCAAATACGGAGCAGGGGACGGGGGAGAGTCCGGGTTCGAACAGAAAATAAACGGTCGAACTGGTCAGACTCGGTCGCTTCTACGATGATTTACCGTTTTCCGCGCGTGCACGGGCATATGACTTCTGTTAAGGCAGTGGGTGGCGCGACGCAGTGCTTTTATTTTGCCAGTGCACCATTGTAAAAGTCGATTTTCTCTTTAAACGTTCTCGGCTTGCGTAAAATAGAATTTACACCGAAAATTCTCCATAACAAATCATCTTTCGATTATTGTATACCTCCAGTATTGAATACCCTTGAAACTGATTAGTAAGAAATCGATAATTAGACCGTGGATACTACTTGCTAACCGTATTTAACACCAGCGCTTATTTCGGTGTCTCAATTATATTTTCTTCGATCTAATAAATCTTTGAAACGATATGTTAGAAAAATGAAACGAGTCATTGAGTTCGTGTATTATCGTAGTTTATAATTTCTAATAACAACGTCTATAGGATTAATTTCAAGTTCATTATGTAAAATATAGGATCACCGGCGTCACAAATATGTGACGCTGCTGGCGAGCGTGTTAATAAAATGAACATAACGTTCTCCAAAATGGCCGCCAAACGAGCGAAAAACCACCCCTCTATCCAACGCAACATTGAATAATACATGAAACACATAAACATCCGTGATCCAATCAGAATCCGACCGAACTTCTCCCTTAACCCCTTGCCATACAATGACTCGTGAGACTCGCGATGATTTCCAGATTAATTAACAAAAATCAGTGTATTATCTTCAATCAAAACTTTTACTTAACCCTCTGTAGGCCCATGTATCTTTGAAATCACCTATCAGTATATTGGCATCTTGTAGAAATTTACTTCATTTTGCACTCAAAGTGGCGAATAAAGTTAAGTAATCAGTTAACTTAAACTTTTATACGCTCAGGCGTGAAAGTTTAACGTCATTGTAACTTGAAAGTCACAAAATATATTCGTTCGATGAAATTACTGAAACTATTGAATATATTGTTAATATTTATTAATTCTACACTGCACAGATTCTGTTACAATCATGAACAAAAATTCGGCCTACAGAGGGTTAATTCTTCACGAGTCCAGCACGTCACAACTCAAGAAGTCAACGCAGAAATCAAATAACGCGTCAACGTGTTAAACGTACAAAAACAGAAGAAAAAAAATGAAATAAATTGTTACCTTCTCGATGAACAGGAGGGTACAGAGAGAGGCGAGGCAAGGGAAATCAACGTAAAAGAAAACTCTCAGAGAGAGAGGACGTTGGTCAGCGTTCGACGTGTCCCGTCCAGAACCGAGAAAATATTCTAACGACAACCGGTGGCAGCTGATCGTCGCCGCCGGGCGGCTTTCTACGATGGTGATGAATTTACCGTTTTCCGCGCGTGTATGGGCATATGACTTCCGGTGGGCAGTGGAAGGCACGACGCCCGGCCTGCTTCTCTTTTCTACGGCTAAGATCAGAGAGAAGTCGAGCAGCAGTAGTCCTCGTTCCGACGTACTTCCGGTCCGTGTCCCCGTCCTCTTTTCCGTCGGGTCCTTCCGCCTCCCGCCTCCCGTTCGGCGGCTCCGTCGTGGCCGTTTCACTGCTTTCCGACGATCAGGCGTCGTGACGCGTCATCGGCGACGCGGGTTAATACATTCGGCGATCCGCGTCAGAGTCAATGACATAACCGGCGGTCGGTTCGCCTTTCAGCAGCCTCGACATGTTTCCCTGGCCTTCCTCTGCGCTCGTCCTCGATTCCGTAGCCGCAAACACGCACTCTCTCTCGTTCCCTCTCTCCCTCGCACACTCTCTCTTTTTATCCTTCGGTCAACCTCCCTCTCAGTCCGTCCGTCTTTTTCTCCCGGCTCGCCGATGCCTCTCCTTTTCGACTCACGGTTTTCTCGAACTCGCCTCCAACCGACGCGGGTAACCTCACTTTCGCGGACCGAACTCTCTGGCACTCGATCGCTACCGGTCGACGTTCACTCGCGCGTACCCGTCCACGCTCGCGACGCGAATGTGTATCTCCTCGTGCAATTGCAATTCCGAAAACGAATCGTGATCGGTGACGCGGTGTTCGATTTCCGATTTCGGAACCGGGCAACGACGATCGAACGTTCGGAAACGGACGCGTACACTGGACACTGGACCCGAGAGACGACGATGCGTATACCACTGACGCGCGGGATTCTAGAAGACGGGATATCTCCGCCGGTGATGGACCGAGGACGATCTTTTCAGTAAGCTATCAGCGTTATCCTTCTCGCGCGGGGTTGCGCGTTCACGCCGAGAGAAACGCGGCGGCACTCGCGGGATCGCGTGGCACGGTTGTCTCGCGTTCCGCCAGCTCGTAGTTTGAAACTCGTTGGCGGGACACCGAGTCCGTGGCTGCGGAACGATTCTCGAGCGCGACTGGGTTTGTACGGTGAAGCGCACGTCACTTGCAGAACCGGTCACATCGCCGAGTTGTACGGCGAACGCGGACACTGGACACGGAACAACCGACAACCGCGACGTCACGAGTCGTACTAACTCGCCGAGCGGCTCGTCCAGCCCGACGGACTTGTCGCGGCGCTGCTCGCAGGATGCGAGGGGATGTGCGCTCGAGGGAACGCTGGCGCCGTCGACGGCGGAACGGGGAACTGCGATCGTCGGTGGAGTGGTCTTCTTTATCGACGCTGGTGTAATCTGATCGATCAGATTTGGAAATTATTAATATTATTATAATATTATTATAATATTAATAATATTACTAATGTTAATAGTATTAGTAATATTAATAATATTATATTAATATTTTAGTTCTGCTGTATCCAATCAAGTGGTGAGAGTCACCTCTCGAGTGCAAAGGGTTAAGTGGAATTTATATCCGCGACTTAATTTCCTAAGTATTCAAGACTCCAAGAATAATGGTGATAGCTTACGATTCCAAATGTAGCCGGTGAATTCGCGGAGATAGTTTTGTTCCCGCACTCGTGCCTCGATTTCATCGGATCGTCGATTCACACGATTTATAAAAGGAACTTCAGAAGCAAGCAACTCGGCGGATTAGTTGACTTCGTTAGGAATTTAGTCTACTTACTTTATTAGGAACTTTAACCTGAATTATTCGCGAAAGCTTCAATTTCGAACGGTCTCATCATCCCCTATTCCGCGGGAACGCCTTTTGACCGGGTTCCCCGTCTAATCCCCTCGAACGTTGGGCATCCAGAATACCTGAATATTTATACGATTTCCTGCTTCATTCGTCTTTCTTTTGTTCCCATCGATTCCGGCGGAGATAAATGAATCTCCGACCGCAAGAAAAAGGGTATGGGAGCGACGGGGGGCGGAGGGGGGGGG